CAAGAGGACACCGGCCCAACTGATGCCCGTGATGCCCCATCCCCGACTGCTGGCTCGGCCCCGTCTCACCCCGCGCCGCAGCCTGGAGGGAGGTGACGGGGGTTAATCGCCCACCGCCTCCCCTCTGACCCCTCTGTGGGTTTTTCTCTTGTATGGTCATTTAGCCGTCCCCTGACACAAAAGGGAGCGATTAAACACAGCTCAGGCCCTTCATGCTTTAGTGGATTAATTTGCTGATCCCCCACGGATTAAAGGTCTCGACAGGATCAGCGGGAGCAGCGGGGCAGACCCCGGCGGGAGGAGGCCAGTGATAGTCCCGGGCAAGCCCCAGCCCGCAGCAATCCCTCTCTCCAGGGACCTCGCGGTGTCACTTAGCCGTGTCAGGGTTCAAGGCATCGGAAGCTTGCCTAAATACCGCGTCCCCAAACCCTCCTGCTCGCTTTGCCGAGCAGCCGAGGGACAGCTCCGGGGAGCAGAGCCTGCCTGCGGTGCACCCAGCAAAGGCGGACGGGGCGAGCGGGACCAGCTGCTCTGGACGAAAGGGGGGGATGGTGGTGACTTTGGGGGCTGCACCCCAATGCTGGGGAGGGGGGGGCGGGCACAGTCGCCCTCCCCAGGCCTGCGGTAAGCAGAGATTGCATCTGCCTTTAATTACTCCCTCTCTGCATATCAGATGCTCGTGCACCTTCTGCACATGAATGCTGATTAATTGCAGGGTTAGGCTCCGAGGCAGGCCGGACCACATTATTTCTGATGTTTGCTCTTTTCACGAGGAGAATAAATGCCATGAATCCACAGTAATCAGTGGCTTTTAGCTTGTCACTCTTATGACACTCTTTACTTAGACCAGGAAATGGCAAATGTGGTGGAAATAAGAACTTTATTATCTCTTTTTTATTTTTTTTTTTTTGCTCCCAAAAGGGAGGTGTGTGGCGAGGAGGGGGGAAGAAGGTGGTGGGGGCATCTTGCGGGAGAGGGAGAAAGCAGCTCCATTTTCCCTGCACCCGAGGAGCCATGCTTTGCCCTGTTCAGCAAGGGAGAGAAGAAAAGCAGCAGCATCTTCTTTGTGGAAGAAGGCCAGGGCAGTATGTCAGGCTGGGGCTGTCCTGGAGCAGTGGCAGCAGCAGAGCTGGAGGGCAGCAGGGCCTCTGCCACCCTTCATAGATCTCGTGGCCTTGTCTGAAATACCGAGCGTGGGCATGCACCGTGTGTCCCCGTGTGCTCCGAGACATCCCATAGCCAAACCAGAATAGAACAAGGCGGGCGGGGGGGGACACCCAGAAGGGTCCTGGGCCTCCCAGCAGGGATGGGCACTAGGGGATGGTCAGCAGCACCTGCAGCATCTCCCACCCCTCATCCCTTGCCTTCCCCTCGCCGGCAAGCCCTGCTTTTCCTCCCGGCTGAGCCCCATCGGCTCAGGTGGGAAACCCTTTCACCGCCTCCCTCAATGCCCTGCTACCGATCTCATTGCCGCCGCTTAGCTCAGTGCGAGGGGAGCCCTCTGCTTTTCAGCAGCGAACATCTGGCGTGCCGCGGGCGGCTGGCCACCGGCTGCCTCCGGCCCCCTCCCCACGCCGCCGGGGATGCCCGCAATTAGGTTGCACTCGAGCCCTTGGCCTCAGCCCCGCTCAGGTGAGCGCCCGGTTTCCCGGGATGGAGGTGTAATTAAGGTTAATCAGAGGGCTGGGGGGTCAGGGCGGCGGTGGGGGAGACCCAGTGAGCCTAATGGCGGCCGTAATTAGGCAGCTGTGGAGAAGCGGTTAATGAAGACGGCAACCGTTAATAAAGCTCTTCCTGAGCAGCCTTCTGGCCTGGGTAATTGAGGGATTTGCAAGTGCCATCTCCCCCTTAACCCTGTAATGAGCAGACCCGTGGCAGCCCGCATTAACCCTTCCAGGGACGGAGGTGGTGGCGGCAGGGCCGTTGGCCGCCCCTTGCTCTGTGGGGACATGGCAGCGGGGCTGGGGTCGTGGGAGGTGGGTTTGAGCCTCTCCCCTTGCCACCGGGTCCCCGGGGCTCCCTCTGCCCCGTGGCTTCCCTGGGAGCCCTTTGAGCCATGCTCAAAGCGGCTGGAAGAGACTTTTCTCGCAGATGCTGTGGTTTCCCACGCCTGCCTCGGCATTATGCAATTCCACCACCCCCCCCCCAGCCCTCGCCGCCCCCCCGGCCCCACCACCCACCAGCGCCGGGATGTCATCATCAGCCCAGGCCCTGGGAACCCACATTGTTAGCTTAGTAAATAGAGAAATCCCCACTCAAGCATTGCAAATGAGGGCAGAGGGGGAGCCAGGGAACCGCGCCGGCCACGGCGGGCCGCAGGGTCTCTCCCCTCTCTCTCTCTCTTTGAGTTGTCAGATGAATTCAGTGGTTAACAAAGAGCAAGGGAGGGAGCTGAGCTGCCATCGCAGCTGGACAGGGCGGTAAGAGGAGGCAGAACTGCAGTGCCACCACTCCAGCAAGCAGCTTTGGCCCTGTAATACCTGTCACAGGTGGACAGGAGCCCAGCATACCTCCATGGCTGTGCCTGTTGTGTGCCCGAGCATTAGCAACTCTGCACCCCAAGGCTCATACTGCAACAGGGGGTGATGTTTCAGAGGGCGAGGCACCCAGGGGAAAGGCTGAGAGAGGCTGGAAGCACATCCCATCCTTGCTCCACTTCTCTGCTACTGGTTGTACCTGCATAGCTGCAGCTCCCTGGTGAGTCCTAGGGACCCACTGTGCCCAAATGTCTGTGAGCATCCTGAAAGTGTCACTGAGGAAGTGAGACAGATCAAAAGACACAGAAATGCTTTTATTTTCATCTAAAATAGAAGACAAGCACAAAAAGGCTGCTTTCACAGCGCGGTGGTTCTGCTTCTCTGAATGGGGCATGAAAATCACCTGGCGAGCAGAACGCCCAGTGCCAGCCCTGGCAGCGGTGATGCTTCTTTGGCTGTAACACAGCAAAGTCTCTCTTAGCCCTACCAGGACGTTTTCCTTCACCTCTCATGGGTAATCCTCCCATTTCCCTCTAGCTCTGGGTTTCTGCACACACAGGGAGGTGTTGAGAGTGGTGCACGCTCCTTTTTGCAAGGTGCACAAGGGCTGAGAGGTGCTGCATGAGGACACACTGCTTAGTGCTAGTGTCTGGAGCCAGACTCCACACTGAAACTGCTGTGTATCTGCCTCTGCAACAGCCTGCATCAGGCAGGGCAACTGGATGGGTCTTTAAAATCTTTATTAAGATGTGGAGGTGAGGATGCACTTCTCTGCCAGTTGCCTTAGCCAAAGCCTGAGAAGGTCATCGTAACTTGTCATGAGATTCACAGACTTCCCTGCCTGGCACTGTGAGCAGCGATGCTGATCCTGACCCAGAGCAGTGCTGGAGATCCCACTGCCACGGTGCCCACAGAGCTGCTGTCCACAGGAATCGCATGAGTGGGCACAGCCAGAGGGTCAGGAGGTGCTGCAAGCCCCTGGCTGGGGTCGGGCACCCAGGGGGTGAGGGGGCGAGATGGGAGCACAGCTTCAGGGCAGTTCCCTCTCCTAATAAAAAGCTTTTGCCATCATCACTGGACAGTCAGGGTAATCTGTCCGGAGGTGTTGGCTGGGAAAACCAAGGGCACGTTTTCCCAAGCCATGGTGATTTGTAAGATGTTGAAAGATCTCAGTGTTTGCTTCCTAATGCTAACCTGGCTTCATTGAACTGTTTTGTTGAATTCTTTAAATTGTGTGTTTCTATTACATTAACATGCCGGGTTTAAAATAAAAAAGACCTTTCTAAGGGTGATAGCAAAAATGTTTTGCTCCGGGTCTCTGCTCCTGGTTTCTGCTGCTGCAGCGGGATTAGTAGTGAGTGGAGGAGGCCCGGGGAGCCCCTGAAGTCCTGACGGGGGGCTTGGCAGGGCACTGCCAGCTCAGCCACTCTGGTAACTTGTGCCATTGGGTGCTTATTGGGGACCAAATCCTTACCCAGCATAAGCCAGGGGAACTGCTGTTGCCATCAAGTAGCCAGAGGCAGAGCTGCTCGGATCCTGTACCGGGAGCGAACCCCGCACTCTACCCCATTTTGGGGGATTTAACTGGCACATGGCACCACTGTGACGTGGGTGCCAACCCTTGTGCCTGTCCCCAGGCAGAGACAGCATGGTTGGGAGCACCAGCCCTTATCTTTCTAGGGCAACATGTGTTGCTACAGCCTGAGGCTCGCTCACACTTCAACCTCTCCCTAAATCTCTTGGACTGTCCTCAGGTCAACGCTCTCCCACCAGGTTTGCTGCTGGTTATACCGGGGGGATTGGAAGGAGCCAAAACCCACTCCTCTGAGACAAACCCAAAGAAGGGATGGATGTTTGTCCTGCTCTGTACGTCAGTGTGTGTGGAGGAGTGGGAAAGAAGATGCTGGGAAGAGAGAGCAGCTTGAAGCCGCGCTCGTATTTGGGAAGGACGATGAAGAAGAAGCCTCTCCCTGCAGCCTCACAGTCTCAGGGCCCAGATGCTCCGGGTGCTTCACACCCACACTGGGTGGGCAGCTTTGCTGCAGGGTCAGACAAGCTCCTGGGATCTCTCAGCCACACACCCACGTGCCTCAGGAAATCAGTGGCAGCTCAGTCCTCATCCCTCCATCCCTCCATCCCTCCATCCCTCCATCCCTCCATCCCTCCTCGGTCCCGGGGCTGACCTGCAGGGACACCCCCAGCCCAGCGCTGCAATACGTCAGCTCCTACAGTGCCCACTCCCAGTCCAGCACACCATGGGGTCAAGCTGGGAGCCGCAAGTGAACTGTCACTTCTAGGTATTTTAGGGTGGCTTTTTCTTTTTCTCGAGGAGAGCAAATTCATATTAAATCATAGATAAATAAAAGGGAGAAAAAAGCTCACAGGTGACCGAGCAGTCTCTGACAGCTGATGGTTGCTGGTGTTAAGCATCACCAAAACAACCTGGTAACAAATGTATCCTCTCACCAATTATTTACCAGTGAACCTGCTTTGGCAGATCCCACACAGAATAAAATATGTAGATTTTTCATGAGAAGGTTTATTTATTTATTTTATTTTTTTGGCTCCATGCTCCATAAAACACATTTACACAGTCACATACAAAATACATTTATCCAGTTTCTTTAAAACAAACAAAATAACCTCTCCTCTCCATCTGGCCCCTCTCTCTGCTCCTTTCTAGCCTGGTCTGCTTCTCTATTCCTCGCAATATGGAACATGACAGGGTATTTTCAATGCTATTTTTGTCCATTGTGTCATAGCTTATATTTAAAATAGCATTTAAATCTGCCAAGTAGTGCGGTGTTTTAAACTGCTGTCAGACTGAATTTCTCCTCCTACATACCGCAGATTTCAGCTACGACTTAAAGACAGCTGAGGGAAGCTTTTGAGGAGGGGGGGAGGTGGAGGTGGTTGGGGACCAGATTGTCTGCAGGTGTGAGGACAGTCAAAGGATATTAACAAGGTAAAGGAGTGCTAAAGGGGCTGGAGGGGGGACACAACCCCAAAGTAAAGCAGGGAAAGTGCATACAGGAGTGAAATCACCTTCCCAAAGGAAGCTCTCGCTTGGGACAAAAGGCTGCGATGGTGGGACCAGGGGTCTGCACCCAGCAGCTAGCTGTGGAAACGGGGGGTCCCTGGTCTGAAGGTGAAATGAGAGACCCCCATCCAATGGAATTTGCTCTGAATTTGGGGTTCATCTCACAGGTCCCCAAAATAGGGTCGATCAAGCCTTTAGCGAGAGCAGCCCTAAGGCAGAGCAGGGGCCTGTGCTGCCTTGCTTGCATTGGGGTTTATTCTCCCTTTCTTCGTCATTAATTTTCTGGGACGTGCCTGTGTCCTGGGTTGAGTGAGTGGTGGAGTTTTTTGGTGCCAGGGGAGGGGGCTATCGGGGAAGCCCGATAGCGACATCTGGGAAGCCCCACGGTGAAGTGGTATGGTCATGGTCCGTGGCCAACGCCTGGGAAAGGGCTCGTCCCTGCTCCTTATGCTTGTGGGGATCTAAAAATCTGCTGGTCCCTTCCTTCACCACCATTAATAAACATCACAACCATCCCTAGCAGGGCTGGCTTGGTTGCAATCAACTTAGAAAAGTCAGCATAACGCCTCCCAGCCAAACCCTCGGTCAGCTCAGACCTCCGTGACCCCTCTGAGGTCGTCTCCCACTGGAAGAGGTGATCCAGAAATGGGTTTTCTCTCCCATCTGAGCCCAAGCCACATTTGCTTCATATGTCCAACCTTCAGGCCTTTAGATGCTGGAGCAATTGTGTTCCCTGGGTGCCCAGTTGTCCCCTTCACATGTCCCCCTCTACCCATGGGCACATCCCGGCAGTGTGAGGGGTCCTCAGTGGCATCTCCCAACCTCTCCCCCTTTGCTCTGCTCTGCCCCTGCAAGCATCCTCCCTTGCATGTCCGTGTCATAAGAAGATGCACCATGCCATTGTGCTCCCAGTCACCAGCAAAATGAACGGCATGGGGATGCCCAGGCTGTGGTCCCTGTCACTGCAGCTGCTGCCTCCCTCCTTCCCTCCCTCCCTGGCTGCTCCTGGCTCCGCTCGGCTCTGCTCAGCTGCCTGCGTGGGAATTGTTGGTAGCCCAGGGAGGGCCAACGGAGGTGGGAGCATCCCCACGCCAAGTCTGGCATGCACGAGCCCCCCACCCTGCTGTGGAGGAGTTCAGTATTTCTTCTTCCTCGTCCCGTTTTTGGCTGCAGAGAAAGCCTGGCGCAGCCCCACCAGAGCAGCTGACGTTCAGGGGAGATTTCCTCCTGCACCCCTTGCTGCAGGAGCTCCGTGCGTGAGGGGTGCAGGGTCTCTCCCAGCCTCTCTCACAGCTCTGCACCTTCCCCAACACCGGTGGGGCCCACGCCAGGCTCTGACAGCCGCTGGATCTTCCCCGATGCCCGGAGGGGTGGGTGTTTCATGGGGTGCCCCCCGCCTGCAGGTGCCCCCAACTTTCCAAAAGGGGTTTGAGTTTCTTTACTGCAGCTGTCCGAGGCTCATTTCTTGCTCCGTCTCCGCTGGTGTCTCACCCTCTCCTGGGACACGTGTGCCTGCCATTGATATCTCCTACCCATCCTCTTCTGTCAACACCGCCTGAGGAAGGGACAGATTTAATTTTTAGCAATGTGTCCTCTGTGTCAATAACTCCCCCTCATCCTCTCCTGGGCGGCAGGGCTATCTGCTCACCCATCTACCCCTCCCTGCTCAGCAGGCAGCTTTCCCCTGCCTCTACACTCTCTCTCCTTCACCGTTTTCCCTTCTGCCTGGAGTTTTCCATTGTTTACCCTTGTTCCCAGAGGGAGAGGTGACCCTTCCCACAACTCCTTGCTGTGTCACCCAGTGCCACATCCCTCGGCACATCCCTGGTGGCAGCCACCCCCAGGCCAGGGTGGCAGAGGTGTCTGCATTACACCTCGCAGTTTTGTGGGCTGAGACAGGACCAGCATCAGGATCTCTCCCTTTGGGATCACCTCATCCCTCCAGCTCTGTCCCATTCCCCAGCTCAGTTCAGGATGTGGTGATGCGCCATGGGCAGGGGTGCCTGGTTGGGTTTGGTTAATTGTTCCCCCAAAAGGCAAGGCTGGGGAAGGGGTACAGCCAGCTCCACGGTTGCATCGTGGCGCGTTAATCAGCCGCATTAAAATTCCAAGACAGCTCCTGCCAAAGTGGCTGCGCGCCGTGCAAGGTGGCTGGGAAATGCCGGGAGCCGTGACAGGCAGGCGCGCAGGCAGACAAAGAGCTCGCTCCGTCACTCCGGGTCTGCTCCGGGAGGAGAAAACCAACACACACACACACACACACACACACATGCACACGCACACACACCCCCTCCACACCACCGCGCAGCCCCACGCTGCCTGACCACGCAGATGCCACCGGAGAGCCCTAAGAGAGGCACACCGTGGCCAGTGAACTTGCCAGCATCCCATCACCAGCCCAGGGGGATGCCTAGGCTGGTTGGGCATCCCAGCTGACCCCACGGGCAACCACGGGAATGGGTGGTACCCACCACAGGGGACTGGGATGTCACGGTGGGGGGGACCACCCGCTGCTCAGCCCCCCCACATCCCATCCCTGCCTGCGCGGGGCGGGGTGGGTGTCCCCGTGGGGCTGTGAGCTCCCAGGGCGAGGGTCCCCCCAGGCCTCGTGTCCCCCTCCAAAGCCCCTGCCAGCTGTAGTAATGCATTTTGCCACACGGTGCCACTATGGCAAAGCTGTAAGGCCGGCCAGGCCTTGCAGCCCTGTTGTATAAGCGATACCTGGTGCTACCCATGTTAGTCGTGGTTCCCTTCTTCCCCGCCGCTCCCATCTCCCCCCATGCCCCCCGCAAGGAAACTGGGACAAGAGCACCCCAAATATTCATCCGAAGGTCATGGTGCTGCCAGGTGACCCCTGCACCACACGGCAGAGGAGGGAGTACAGCAGTCACCTCCGGGGTGTCCTGAGACTGACCCGGGGGATGGTGGGGACCGACATGTCACCAGTATGATGGCATTGCTCTGTCTCCGCTAGCCCTGGCAGGGAGGAGAGATTCTGGAGGCTCTGTAGGACCATGTGCCATGCCAGCAAGGGACAGGGGTGCTGCATAACCCAGGTGTCCAGGAACAACGTGCCAACCCTGCTCCTCTCCTGCATTTGGGGTGCTGAGCTTTGGGGATGCAGCTCTCCAATAAAGGGGATCTGGCTCCATTGCTGGGGGGGGAAAGCAAAGGGCCTGGCAAGGCTGCAGCCACTCGCCTCCACCAGCCTTTCTCCGAGGATGGATCCAGCCAGCCCTGTCCTCCCACAGCCAGGCCTGTGAACTGCCTACGGGAAAGGGGATGCTGCAGGTGGGGCACCCCATCCCACCCCAGGGAGACAGTGCTGTAGGAACGAGTAGGCTGGGTCCTGCACCCTGAGTTTCTCATCCCCATGGCACACTCACCTCCCACCGAAGGGGTGGAGGTGCCCTGGGGCGGCTCAGCCCTACACCCAAAGCAGCACCCCAACAGACCCATTCTGCACCCACGCGAGGGGGGCCGCACAGCTCAGCCCAGGACACTGAGCTGATGAGAGCTATGCAGGATCAGGCCATAAACATGAGAGTTTTGGGGGTGAAAAGTGTTCTGCAAATGGCAGGCAGTGGGATCCTGTGTGCTGCATCTGCTGCAGACAGAGAAGGAAAGAAGATTCACTTCTTCCCTCGCTAATAAAGTCTGGCTGAAATGACACAGTATAATCAGTGTTTACCTGGGAGTTTACATATGGTTTGTTGTAATTATAGTTTCAATTCCTGCTTTTGCATTTTTTTTATTTTTTTTTTCCCAACATCTATTTTTCAATCAGTAAAAGTAAATACTATTTTCAGCCCAATGTAATTCTTCCACTCCCGTGGCCACAAACACAGCGAGGAGAGCGATTCCATTTGCGCGCTGTGCAATTGAGCAGAGAGAGGAGCCCGGCGGCTGCGGGGCATCAGCAAAGCCACAGCCAAGCAGGAACCTGGGGACATGGGGACGAGCCTCCCCTCCCCACCACGAGTCCCCCAGGACCTCCATCCCACCCGGTGGGGCTACCTTTGCTGGTAAAAATCAGCATCAGGCCCAGATGCTGCTTCCCATCGCGTTGTCATCATTAAAACCCTAAAGCCGCCTGGTCGGAGGCAGTGGGGAAGGGATAAGAGCCATTAGGTGCAGCATCATTTATTTCAGGGCTGGCAAAGCTTTGTTTCAGCTTGGGGATTGAGTTGGCATTAAAAGCACCACGATCCCCTGGATTTAATTTTTTTTTTCCCCCTGTTTTTACGGGTGTGATTTATAACAAATCAAGGATGCTGGTGTCAGGTCCCCTTCTTCACCCCACTATTGTCACACACACACACTGATTAAAACCACGCGGCCCCCGCCAGTCCCCCCCGTCCATCCGTCAGCTGCTCTGGGGACAAACTTAGGCATCCTGCTTCTACGTCTGTCCATGTGTGTTCTGGTGCCGTGTGTTTTAAGCCAATATTGGGTATTAATTTACTATGAACATACACGCATTTAAATATATCTCTATAGTTATATTTATTTATGTCATGCCCCTAAGTCCTTGCAAAAATAATTGGGAGCTCTGTCTTAAGGAGGAATTGGGCGTTATTGGGATGCAGAATAAAAACGTCACCCTAGAGACACGCAGAGGGTTTCCACCTCGGCCACTCCAGTTGAATGTTTGCCGATTACAGCCCCAAATTGGGCACGGTTTGAGCTCAGTGCCAAGGCAGAGCCGCTGCCCGAGGCCGGTGGGCAGGCGCCGGAGGAGAAGCTGGGTGATGCTGTAGAGGGGACCCTTCCCCTGCCCAGAGGGGCTCGGCCCCTCGGGGGAATCAGGCAGAGGCCAGCAGCCCTGCCTGAACCCGATTACACCCCAGCACCCTCATCATCCTCATTCTGGGGTTAAAAATTAGGTGATGAGGATGGTTCCCCTGGAGCCGAGTCCTTGGCCTCCGCTCTCCCACATGCTCCACTCCCCACCAGGGGAATTATTTATTTTACCATCCTCATCCCCTCAAAGGGCTGTTTTCTCCCCCCACGCACACGCTGCCCCTCTGAATATCTCAGGGACCAAAGGGGAAAATTTCAGCGAAGGTTTTCGGAGGGGCCCCTCGCCCCCAAGGCCCCGGCGCGGCAGGCGGGGGAGCTGGGGCCGTGGCCGGCGCCTGGAGCGGAGCAGCTCGGCGGCAGCCGGGGCTCCCCGGGCGTTTGAAGTTTGGCTGCACCGAGAAATGCCCGTCCCAAAGCACGGGCGGCTGCGGCCGATGCGTTCCAGGGGGGCTGAGTTTGGGTTTTCCTAAGACAGGGGGAAGGAGGGTGAATATTGGCCGGGTGGGGAGAAGCATCCCTCTCCCACTGCTGCCTGACACTGAAAAGAAAATTAAAAACCAAGCAGTTTTAAATAAAATTGTTCTCACAAAAAAAAAATCTCTTCTCGCCAATCCCAAGCACGAATATATTTTCTTACTATATTTCTTAAAAGCCTACCCCACTCAACCTTTTTCTCCCCGAATTTAGAATTAGCTGGTTTAAACTCTCACCCAAAATATTTATCACGAGGAACAAAGATATTGGAATCGTCTCCGGGGTTGCATTTCAATTCTCCCTTTCAGGATTTTATCTTTTCAATCCAAATTTCAGTGACAATAATCCAATTTTGATTGACATTAAAATTATTTATTGTCACATTGTAGCTGTTTAATAAATTGTGCCTGCTTTATTTTTTTGGCTTATAAATACCATATCTTTACTACCTTGGTGCTTAATTCAAGGGAAGGAACCACTTCTGAAGGCAGGCAGCAATAGTCTTAACCCAGACAAGATGTAAAAATATCTTTTTACACACATGACCCTGAGGAAAAAGACAATTCCACCTTTTTACTAATTTATATATTTTAAATCTCTCTGGTTTATAAAATTCCGCTTTATTTTCTAATGGTAAAATATACTCCTGCAAGCTATGTGTAAGACGAAGATGATTTTAATCTCCATCCGGATACAGAACAATTAATGTGTCAGGAATATTTAAAAAATCAGGAAAACAATTCAGGACACTTTCATGCTCCAGATTTGAGAGATTTTTCATCATTCTGGGAGTGAGTTCATCCAAAAAAAAAAATAATAAAATAAAACAAAGCCCGCAGACATCCATTTCAGAGTGCCATTAAAATCTGGGTCGCGTTGCAAATGATTTTCTTTTTTTTTTTTTTTTAATTTCCACAAATTACTGAAAGTTAAAAGAACCATCAGCCGGTTTTACTATTAAAAAAAAAAAAAAAAAAGAAAAAAAAAAAAAAGAAAGAAAGAGAGAAAATTAAAAAATAACATAGAAAAGTGTAGCCCTTTCAGAATAAACCAAAAGCAGCTCCTTGGCAGGAATATTTCCCCAGGCGGAAGATTTTAAGTCTGGGTCCCACAGACGCCTTGTGCCAGGGGGGACCCTGCCTTTTTGCTCTGGGTGCCGGGGGGTACCAGGGGGTGCCAGGGGGTGCCAGGGGGTGCCAGTGCCCCAGGGGTGCTGTAGGGCCACAGCGTCCCACCCGCCTGCCTGCAGCGGGCAGAGGTGGCCGTTTGCCCACTGCC